TGCCAACGAACTGGCATACGACGCTGGTGGGCTCCCTACCAACTTCTGCCACATGGGTCGCATGGACTGAAACCAGGACACACATAAACGCAATATAAATAGGAAAGTGGTTTTATCAACAGTATAATGAAATATTTGCAATTGCACAAAACAGAGCAATACACTTTGCTTGAGAAATTCAAGCTTTTGTCTTTTTTTTTTCCCCCTGAATTTTCTGGATAGAGGTTTAGAGGTTCCCCCACTGCTCTTAAAAGGAGAAAGTCCTGAACATCATGACCATGCTCTGTAGAGCATGTATTTTTAAAGCTATGTGAGCTATTGTTGCATACAAATCTTAGCCTTTATTGCTGAAGTCACTGTAGTACACAGTTAATATAAAAGTCATTGTCTTTTCAGCTCCTTGAATGACTAATCTTCCAGACAATTGTTTTAGCTGTTGCAATTTATGGAATGTGTCAGCATGGAATACGATGAAATCAGTGTTGATAAATAAAGTGCATTTACAGTCTGATTCAAAATGCAAGTCATAAATTCGATCTTCACCGGTAGCTGGAGTCTGATCCCTTTTTAAGTAAATCCCATCAGATCTATATTTTGCGGCATTAATTAACTAAAAGTATTTGTGTAAATGTATTAAAGTTTCATCATGAAATATGATTCTGAACAATTTTTACTGACTGATAATGGAATGCACAGTAGACACTTCCACAGTGTTTTGGTAATTACCATTCTGAAGTATACTGATAATTTCTGTATGATTATTTTTATTAATTCAGTTCATTTTCCATGGTAGCCTATTGTTATTAAATATATCAAGCACATTAGGAAAATGTTCCCTTTGGTTATCTATCTTGTAATAGTTGTTATGGCATTTTTGTACACATTTTAGGGCATAGTCTGTATTCTAATGAAATGTCTTTTTTTGTGCTTTAATTCAACTTTGCATTCTACATATAATATCAATATGTACTTCACTGTTAATGAAAACAGTTTGATGAACAAACGCATTATAATTTGCCTTTCAAATTTTTGCCACTTATAATTTTTATTTTAACATGTCCATCTAATTATTTACCTAAGGTGGCATTTTAAGGTAATTTTAAGTGGCATTTTTTAAATCTCATTCTACTTTTCAAGGTTTTAGATTACCTATGTAATGTTGTCTGGCACTGGTAGGGTTCCCTCTTTGCAAGCATTTGATGTTCAGCTTTTTTTATTAATTGCAAGGGTTAATTAAAGACTATGGAAAGCACATTACTGATTACAAGCATTCTAGTGCTAGAATCAGTGTCTGAAATCATTCATTGAGTCATTATATGATTTTAGTTTCTGAAGTGAATGTTTCAATTACTGTTTCAATTACAATTTTTTTTTTTAATTCTTAGTAGTAAGGGTGTTTTTCTGTGTTGTGTTCTGGTAGAGAAATAGGCAATAGAGCATGCAACTTCCAAAAGCAGCCTGAAATTTAAATTGAAGCACAGGAGGATTTGATAGGTGAGCCTGAATTAATTGCCAAGTATGAGCAGCCTGAAGCCATACAAGGAACCGATGAACACGCATGCAGCATCTAAACACAAGTAATGTCTGGAAAGCATAAACTTGAAAGCCAGAAAGTTTCCCACTTGTAGACACATTAAACTTGGGCAGAAATGGTCAGAGTGCAGGCTAAAGAGTCGATGACAGTCCCAGATAAAATTGGTTTTGCTTGTTTGTTGTGTTTGTATTTTTCAGACAGTTCAATAATCTTGAAATTACATTGTGATGAGTTTTAGTCATAGTGCCAGGATGAATTACACTATTGCCAGTCAGGTTCTGTGCGATGCAATAAAATGTCTTTTTAATAAACAGAACGACACTAAAACACTGAAGAAGTGGATGGCTGAAGTGGATGTTTTTCTGAAGGAAGAATGGCCTGCCCTTGGTGATTCAGAAGCACTGGAAAAGCAACTCGAGCAATGTACAGTGAGTATTACCTGCCTGCTTGGCAATTATTTGATTCTTCTCTATGAGCCTAGCTTATACAGAAGTTAAACAAATGATTACTGTTCTTAAAAATAAATTGTTGTAAGGGGGTTGTCTTCTGCAATGTATTTGAACCTCCTGCATTTCCTGGGGTTGAAGGAAAATTCTGTTAAAAAATTGGAGACTTTAAGACAGAGAGGAGGCATACAGCGACTGTATCATTATGTATTTATAGCAAGAGCAAAACATCAGAGAGGATACTTGCAGCAAATAATAAGTTAATAGCCCCTTAAGATAACTGTTCATTTACTTTGTTGAGTTTAGAAACATTGTACGTGTATTTGTTATAAGCTGTATAATCTGTGCCAGAAGATCTTTCTCTGTATCTGTTATTCACACATGACTTACAAGTTCTTCTACCCGTACCAAAAGAACTTGCAGGTATTGTGAGTTATATCAATTTTTTTTACTAAACTTACAAGTTCCAGGATTTTGTCCCAGCAGAGTTTTAAAGCATCATGAAGTATTGATACTTTCCTCACAGGGTTTACAAATTCTTCTGCCTGTCCCAACAGAGCGTGTAAGTGCAGTGAATCTTGTAATCCATGATAGTCCCTGTCTATACGTTCAGTGGAATTTACAAGTTCTGTAAATGTTCTGGCAGGATGTGTAAATATTATGAAACGTATATATTGATCTTACAGAACTACAAGCTCCTCAGATTTTCTCTCTTACCCCTTATTTAAATAAAAAATGATTATAAATTACATAGGACAACTCTTATCTCTACAATTTAGTAAGTTACATGTAACTCTTTTAGAATCTGTCACCTGAATTTGTGAAGAGTTTGCACAAATATTAGCCATTACTGTCAAATATGTAATAAAGCTACCAAAATCTTCATCATCTTTTATGTATTTACACTTCCAGCCTTCTCCACTGTGTAGGAAGCCCAGGTAACATCTGCAGCATTGAAGAAGGCCTTAGGAAATAAAATTGGAAGTGTCAATTTAGAACTACCTCAGGGCTTAAATAATATTCAACCACAAATAAAATTCTAATAACCAGACATAACCAGAGAATGTCACCATTCAGATAATTTTAAGTTACCAGGTGAATTACCAACCTAAGGGTAATGCTGGCATAGTTAGTAAGATAGCTTCACAGATAATTTTCCACCGTTATGATGGGATGCTCTTTTACAAATGTGAATAAAAGATCTAGGCATTGTAATAGATAGAATATATGTAATATAACATTATATATGTGTATATATATAATATATACATAACATTTGAAACTTACATAATATGTATTTTGCAAATTAACTTTATCTGATATAGCATAGCTTACCACATTACAGCTGCTCATTCCTTTTTTATTTATTTTCATAGTTAAGTCTGTTAATTGTGTTCATTTGACTGGAGATCTGGACCAAAGACATGTCAGAATCTCATGTAGACATGTTTTGATAGGAATAGCATATCTGAAAATTTGTGTGAATGCTGCTTGCCTAATCTTCTGCTATTCCTTTAGGCTTTAGTAAATGATATCCAGACAATCCAGCCCAGTTTGAACAGTGTTAATGAGGTTGGGAAGAAAATGAAGAGTGAAGCAGAGCCAGAATTTGCTTCCAGAATAGAGACAGAACTAAAGGATCTCAATGTTCAATGGGAACACATTTGCCAACAGGTATCAAGTCTCCCGCTGTGTCTGGCTCATTTTAAATTAATGATCAGGTTTCTTATTGGCAGAATTTGTCGTTCTGTGCATATCCAGTAGATATGAAACTGAATTTAGACATATCTGGTTCACATTAATTAAACTTCTATTTTAGAAATTTTATTTAGTGTGTAGCAATACATGTAAAGTATATTTCTTTATATTATAATACAATATCTTCTATTTTTATAACAAAGTTATATACTAATACCTTAGATCTTAACAGCAATGTAATTTATGGCTCCTGCAAAATTAGCTTTCTGAAAGTGGTATATAGGCATTTGCCAAAAAATCAAGTTCTGTATTTAGTGTTACATTTTCTTTTGTGTCATTGTATTCACATGTCATTACTCTAGATGAAATAAGACACTAAAGCAGTGAAGAGTTCAGAATTCAATAATTTGGAATTAAGAGCATGTGCACATATGCATGTGTGTAAATTACAGTCTCCAATGGTCACATGAATGTGAGAGAATGGGGCACAACAAGAAAGGACAGTTCTTTTATTTTAAAGACATCCTTAATAAATAATATTACAGATTAATGAAGCTAAAAATTACTATTATTTCATTGATGACATTTGGATTGTCATTCTTTATGATGGTTCAAAGGAAACATCTGTCATGTTGTATTACTTTTACCTTTTTTCCTACTTGCTCATTCTGTTGTCTAACTTTTTTAACGTATATTTGCATAATAGTAAAACTATTACCTTTCAGGGTGGTCTAATGTTTTCTAAAATTATTATTCTTCACTTTACATGTGAAAAATAGCCTCTGTATATTTTTCTGATAAACATAGTTATCAAAAAAGTTGATCTTTGAAACCTGTAAGACATTTTATTGATCCAGTTCTATAGTCTTTCCCCTTTGACTAATGTGGAGTTTTTAATTGCTTTTTTTTGTAATATTAATAAGTTGGATATCTTTGCACTTCTCTCACAGAAATTTCAAGTAAAGCCTTATGAGTTTAGAGGTCTGTTACAGTTTTCTTCCGACTTCCCTGAAAATCTGCCTGTAATAGTTCTATTCAATACACAGCACAAATTATTGCGTCTCAGTGGGCATTTCTAACACAACTTCTTCAGTAATAGCTATCAAAACACATGAGTAGTAAATATAAAAAACAGTTTGGTCTGTGGGGTTTTCTTGAAAGGATTTGGAAAAGTCAGCCTGAGTTGATATACATGCAGTTAATATGACTGTGAGAGCTAACAATGGGCATTCACATACTCTTTCCAGGTGATAGGAGATTACCCTCTCTTCTGGTGCTGTGACTGAGGAAGAGGCAATTTTGCAGGGCTGCATATAGTTCTGCTTTTATACTTGTTGAACATCACCTTTTTATTGTTACTCTGTTTTGTTCTGTAAAACAACATTTATGTAGAACAACATTTATGTTTAACAGCCAGTCCTCAAGGATGAGTAATGAAACCAGTAACAGTCAGAAACTAAGACCAAATACTAAGACACAATTCCTCCTGATGTTACTGAAAATAACATTTCCTGAAGTAGCATCATAGTGCAGGATGTTGGAGTGATCAGCTCTGCAAGCCCAACTCTGAAAAATGGCACCAGTGCAACTAACTGTTTTTGTTGCAAACTTCTTTATACCATTGAAAGGTGGCTCAGCCAATGGCTCAATCGGTTATGGACAATTTTGGTAGGTTGCTGCACAATTCATAGAATCCTAGAATGGCTTGGGATGGAAGGGACCTTAAATATCATTTAGTTCTAGTTCTATACATGAGCTATATAACATAAGTTATATGACTGCTATATAGTAATTGGCAAAGAATTTAACAAAAGTATTTTTCCCTTTAAGATAAGTAGTTTCTTCCAGTAAGATATTCCTTTTTTACATACCTATTTTTAGGATATACACCTTTCTGAGAGATTCAGTAATGACTTCATCAGTAGAAGAAAGATATGCATATTGCTTTATTCTCTAGCAAGTTGCATTCAAACTGATTAGAAGGTCATCTGACTTTATAGCTCAAGAGCCTCTGGTTTCATCCTTGGATGCACTTTCAAGGTCTCCTGTGGTTGGTTTTTTTACATCTTTTAGAAGATAGTCCCTGGGTGATGTTTTTTTTAGATGACCTCAGCATACAGTGTAGAGTCGTGTTCTAGGATCATTGAAAACTCATTCTGCACAGCAATGACTTGCCAAAAAAAGGATGTATACACATATGTCATATTTTCTTGATTACCTATTATTAATATCTATCTAATTACTTGTTAACATCTGCCTAATTACAGCATTGTTATTAGTATAGGATTTAATTTGGTTCTTTTCAGGCTAAAATATTGTCAAGTCTGAACAGTAGCCTTGCTTCAAGTACCATGTAATGTTTTCTTTCTTAAAGGCCTGTGCTAAAAAGGCAGCATTAAAAGGTGGCTTGGATAAGACTGTGAGTCTCAGAAAGGATTTGTCAGAGATGCATGAATGGATAACACAAGCTGAGGAAGAATATCTGGAAAGAGATTTTGAGTATAAAACACCTGACAAATTACAGAAAGCTGTTGAGGAACTGAAGGTAAATGATGAACTAATTCCTTCAGCTATGTTTAAAGTTCTTTTTGAAGCTTTTGTTGTAAAGAAAGTCTAATTTTTCTTTTAGAAAGGTGCCTTTTGAGGTCCACTTCTTAGTCTAAAATTCATAGTAGGCAGCTTGAAGTAATTTCTATTTGGAATACGTTAGAAGATACTTAATCTTTCACAATACTGCATTGCTTTTTTTCCCCTCTTTGCTTTATTGGATACTTGATTTTGATGCAGCTTCAACATTCTCTTACTTAAGGAATAATTCCCAAGAATCAAGTGTCAGCAGCAGTTAACTGATAGAGTAAAATCAGTTTTATGTCTTCTCTTTATATTAGAGAGAGAGAAAAAAAAAAGATTTAGGACTTCAGGATGCATGTTGGTATGTGCTAAGTATGCATGATTTATTATTTCTTTAATATAGCAATATAGGAACACCGTATTTTCATCTCAAGCAAATAATGTTTCTTTCATGTGGGATGAATATGGCCTTTGGATTTGTGATACATGCTCAAATATACTCTTGCTTAGCCACTGGATGTGGGCTTGATTTTTATTTCATAGGTGAATTGTTTGGCCTGTGCTATTCAGGACATCAGATTATATAGCCTTAACAATCTATCCAACACTTTGTTCGCAAACTCTTCATTGTCCATAGAGTTTTGCCAGTGTTTGAGAGTATCTGACAATGCAGCTGATGATCTCTTTATTTACTGACAGAAATGGCTTGATGCCAGTCAGAATATACAGAATATATGGAAATACATGGAACAAGTTCGATTCATTGAGACAAATATATCAAAAGTAAACATCTGCTCTAGAGATACAGTTCTTTTTCAGTAATTAAATAACAAAACTTGAATTTATACATTGCACTGCATAATAAAACAGCTAAAAATGTATAGTTTTAGACACAACCCCCATTATGGATTTCCTAGTGAATATTTTGTACTTCCAGCTGAAGTACAGGTATGTTCAAACTGTGACACCTCGACCTATGCAGATAACCAGATCATTTGTCAAGCATCCCTTCACCTGCTCCTGGTCATCCTTTCCCTGAAGGCTTGCAGCCACCTCTCCTGTCACACAACAGGCAAAATCTGGACCAGAATTCTTTGTTCATCCTGCAGCCCATTTCTTCCTACAGCTAGGGAAGAGGGAAGCCAGGAACAACCTAGTAAACTTTCTCTGGCAATGGCAGCCTGATCCCAATTATTCTGGTTCATGGACTTCCTCAGGCCCGGAGAGAATGAAGCTTGTTGGGAACAAGGTTTTGTTTTAATGTTTTCGGGCCAGAGAGTTCTCATCTTAAATTCCTGTGAAGACCAGTACACACTGATGACAATGTGTATACCATCACTCTGCTTCCAGTAGTGATATGACTCCAGTCATAGACCATCCCATCGTAAGCACTCAGAGGAAACGATGCTAGGTATAACAATCTTATATCTTATTAATGAGACAGCATAACAAGGGAGAGTAGGAAAAGGTGGAGGAAGAAAGTTGGGAATTGGATTGATCATTTGTTATGGTTACATAGGCTAAAACCGAGAAAAGGTGGCAGGTTGATGGTTCCAGATCAGTTACATAGGATTTATTAATTATTGGTTTTAATTCACCATCCATTTGTGGTTCTCTGTGTTCCTCAGATCTTTATATTTCCTGTGTCTGTCCTTTGTTAAACTTCTCTGCCTAGGGTCTAAGACAGAAAGTGCTGTTTGGGAGGATGCTCCCTTTTCATTTTGTCCTCTCTTCATGTTAGGTTAATGTTCACTGACGGTGAATAATAGTGCTGATTTTTCTATCTCTGTAAAATGAAAGAATGAAATCAACATTAATGCTCTGATAAAAGTGTGAAATATACACTGAAGAAAAATTATTTTCTCAACTTATCTTTAAACGCAGGTTAATGACAGTGGCAAGGAGAGGAAAATCAGTCAGAAGTATTTTCCTTTTTTTCTGTCTTGCTGCTTGTGATTGTACCTTTAAACCTGGGTACACGAATTTGTAACACCACAGATTTTTTTGTCATTTGTGGTTCATAAGGCATTATGGCAAAGGTATTTGGAGCATTTCTTGGAAAAAAAAAAAAAATACTGAAATATTTTACTATTCTGAGAGCTCCAGAAATCTACATAGTTATGAGAAGATGTTAAACTGTATTGAGTATCATGTATTGGTAACAAAATGAAAAAAAGTTTTTTGCATGCATTCCAGATTATGTCAGAAAGTCTGGGAATTAAATGACTCTTGAGGGTTTTTTTGTTGTGGGGTTTTTTGGGTTTTTTTCCCTCTGACAGAATTGTGTCAGAGAGAATTATAACAGAGTTATTAGAAATAAGTTTCCTTCTTAAACCAGGACTAGGTTTTTTTGTTTGTTTGTTTGTTTGTTTGTTTTTCAGAGAGCAAAGGAGGAAGCCATGCAGAAAGAAGTGAAAGTGAAGCTTATTGCTGACTCTGTGAATAATTTTATAGCAAAGGCTCCACCTGCAGCTCATGAGGCTTTGAAAAAGGAGCTTGATGTTCTAATTACCAGCTACCAGCGACTCTGCAGCAGACTGAATGGAAAGTGCAAAACTTTGGAGGTTGGATATCTTGTCAGTCATTGTATTTATAGCCCTTCTAACTGCAAAAGTAAGGTAGAGAGCAAAGATGTATTATCATATGGGATCATGCGTAGCCCAAGGCTGTTCTCACTTTATGAGCCATATACCAAATGGTATGAGCCATATACCCAAATCTTTTTTTGAGAATCGTATATGCTGGAGAGTCATATTAAAAGAGAAGCCTCAGACATGGCTCTTAGGTGGGAGACAGCAATGGCTGCTCAGGGTTCTTATCCCTCCTGAGATTAAGCCAAGCATCTGGCTTCTGTAGCAACCCTGTGACATTGTCTTCACCAGCTCCTCCAGGCTTCTTTCTTCCACGGCTAAGGATTTTGATTAAATGACCCTGAAGCTGGACGGGTCGTGTAATCTCGGTGTGGGAGCAGCATTTGATATGCTGGCAAGCTGAATATGTCTCATGCATTTTGAGTTGACCCTGCCATTTTGGCCAACTCCATTACAGATTCTTGCCATGGGACTATTTGCATATTACACAGTGGTCACAGTGAATTAGGTATGATTTTTTGTTGTGAACTAATTTACAAGAATTAACTTCATACAGGACAATTATTTACCTGGGTAAAATTTATCTCCTCTAAATTTCACTGTGGAAAATTAGGTGTGCAGTCTAAGCTGGTAATCTATATTTCCCCTGATCATTGATGATGTTGTTGTGTGGTAACATCCCTCTACAACCTCTTCCTAGACCAGACACTTATATTTGATATGACCAAAGTTAGGTGAGATGAATCGCACTCTGGGAAACTTGATCTACAAACAGCTTAATGCATCCCCATAAAGTTGCTTTAGCTTCTACTAACAAAAAAGAAACAATGAAAAGATGATTTATGGAGAGTTTAAATGTTTTGCTTGTGTATAAAGTGCCATTTTTAGCTGCTTATTTAAGTATCTTCAGGCACTGTAAAAATAAAATATTAGACAATAATTTAATTCCAGGAGAATAAGAACATAGTTTCATTTTACAACATTATGTTTAGTACTCTAGCACTTAAGTGGTCTATAAATTGCACTAAATGTAGTTTAGAATTAATTTCCATAGAGATTTCAGTCAGAATTCTTGAAAGCTGTGTTTTCAGACATTTTAGGAATCTGTGCTTCAAGTAATTAATATACAGAATATATAAACAATCTAACTACATCTTGTAATAAAGACAAACTTCTAACATGAGTCTTTAAAAATTCTGATTATTTGTATATTTATATATTACAAGAAAATTTTACAGAAAAACATATAAAGTGGATAATTCATGAGAGAGAAGATTCAAGTTGTGTTTTGCAGAAGTGTTCACTTTTTCATGTTATCTTCTGTGGTTTTGTTCTGTTTAATCAAGTTGTTTTGGTTGTGTAGTATATTTATTTGGAACATATAAATACTGGGAAAAAAATCAACTATATGGCACCGTAACCATCAGATATCAACCATATTGTTTTGGGCATGAAGCCTGCAATGTTTTCAATGTTTTAATAAGTGAAAGTTAGCTGTGAGATTTTCAATCTCAATAAACATTTTTTTTTCTCATCAGGAGGTATGGGCATGTTGGCGTGAATTATTGTCATATTTGGATGCAGAAAATAAATGGTTGAATGAGATTGAACTGAAACTTAAGGCAACTGAAAATATCCAGGGAGGTGCAGAAGAGATTTCTGAGTCTCTAGATGTAAGTGCTGAGTTAAATAATATCAAATCACATGTATTGATAAATTGTAAATCACATTACATTCAAAACAAACTATGAATCAACATTACACATGAGCAAGATGCAGAATATTTGGAAAGTCCTATGTTCTCACTTGATTCAACAAATGAGGTTTTGAATTTGAATCCACCTAAGTGAAACAGAGTAATTAAACATGTTATGCCTGATGTCATAGACAATCTTTGGTGACAGTAAAATACATGTTCTTAAAAACCATGGCCTTACTTAAGCCAGTCAAAAAAATGTTGAAGACTTCAGAGGGAGGAAGCTTTCATCCTAGCACTGCAACTCTGTTTATTATTACTTAATTTTTATTCATGGAACCTTTCAAATTTGTAGAAATTAAGTGAATACTCTTAGTGGATCAAAATACAAAACTTTACATTCATAATGCAATTTTACTATTGAACTTCATCCATTCAGACACTCAAGCAAATTTTTTATTTTTAAGTACACAAATACTCCCACTGAACTCATTGGGCATAGTCCACGTTTTTAAAATCAAGCACCCAATTTATTGCTTTGTGAAAAATCTTTCTTTGTTTTCGGTAATAAGTAGTACGGAACATTTGTTGTCAAGACATGGGACACTGATATTTTGATCTTTTCTCTCTACTTTTATTGTGTATGAAATGTGAAGTTTCTTTCTTACATTTTTAAGGGGAATTGTCATTGCTCTGTAGAATCTTATTTGCAGAAAGGAAAACAAACTACTTTTTTGACCTTGTTTCAGTCTTTGGAACATTTAATGAGACATCCAGAAGATAATCGCAATCAGATTCGGGAATTGGCTCAGACTTTAACTGATGGTGGAATCTTGGATGAATTGATCAATGAGAAACTTGAGAAGTTCAATACTC